GAGTTTCCCCGCTCCGTATTCTCATTCACTCACAGCTTTGTGTATGTGGGAATGTGCCATGTCGTTCAAAATGGGATGTGATGAGTTGTCCATTAAGCTCAAAAGCCCAAGATACCACCAGCAAGGAGTCCAACGACCGGCTGAGATAAGCTTTAACATGCGTATACCAAACCATGTTACTGCTCAAAGAAAGGTTATCACCTTGCTACTTTGATCGCCCATACATCGTGTGATCACTTTCAATACGCTTCGCACACCGCACCTCCCGAAAAGCACGGACACGTGTCGCAACCCAGCATCCGGGAGGCACCGCCAGTCAGCACTCAGCCTCACCTTGGCCCATCTGCATCCGCGAGGCGAAAAAGGAAGGTCACGATACTTTCTCGGTGGTGTTGCGGCTCCTAGCGCTGGGAAGCACCATGTCAGCTGAGCCCGTCTAGCCCCCCGTGACTCTGGGTGGCGCACGACGCACGTACAGCCGGACGAACAGCGAAGCCGATATTTCCATCTGCTCGCCTTGCAGCGGCATTGTAGTAGGCAAGCTCCGACGGCCTTAGTGGAAACGGAATGTCTATCCCGTAGCGCTAGCTTGCCGGTGTGATCGTCTCAGAGCTAGATGAACTTCGTGGAAGCGAGCTCGTGTCAGGGGTCTCCGAGATCTTTTGCGGGGTAGCGTATTTCCTTAGCTCATAGAAACCGAGAAAGTAAAATAGGGGTGCTCAGAGGCACAGGCGGTATAGTGATCGGTCTGTTGTACTTTGCTTGCGCACAACACCTGTCTAACATACTTGAGGTACCCCGTGGTTGTATCGTCATCATTAACGTCGCTCTAATCAATGTCAGAATCTCATAACGCTAATTTACTTGTGCTGTTTGGGGATCGCTGTGTAGTGTGCTCGGCTCAAGTGGTGAGCTAGAGTAGTTCCCGTAACGGTGTTTGCATTCTTGGTTGTGGAGAAGTCGCATAGCGGGGAAGTTTCGAAGACGTAAGATATTACCAAATAAAGTCCAGTCGAACACGATGGTGAGAGGCCTAAGCTCCTACTCATGCAACAGACCGGAAAATACGTGTCACCAGGAGGAGGAGCCCATGCATTGTGAAGATTTTGCAGATCCACTCCCAACGTGTGGTGTTTGTGTTTGGTGAATGGTCATGGCATGAGTTTTGCCTAGGTTGCACAACGTGCGTTGCATTATTGGAAAGAGAGACAGAGAGAGCGAACGAGAAGGTCCAATATGTTCTGGAATCATCGTGATCATGGTTGACAGGGTGTTGCAAGGCTGGTCGTGTATGGTGCCGTGATGCGTCAGACGTTGGCAGTTTGACGACAGAAGGTGCGAGACATGACATAGATGGCGACACCCGCAGCCGCAACCGTCCAGCAGCCGTCTGGAGAAGCGGAGATGGTGGAAGTGATCAATGCGTCGGATGTAATATGTCAAAACAAGCCACAATGCTCACAGTCAATGCTCTTGTGTCGTGAGATGATCCGTGAAGACGGCGTTACGACGACGCGACGGACGCGACAGCGTGGAAGCAACGGAGGTTGAACTCGGATTGACCCAGCAGAAAGGCGCCATGCAGGCACGGGGATTGTGAAAGATGGTCGGAGGGTCTCGTCAGAGATTTCCATGTGTCATTGGTGGTCAGGTGGCCTGCGGATTGAATTTCCTGGGGGTAATCGAAACGCCAGCCACGAGCCACGTGAAGCCAATTTTCTGCTTTGAATCGCCGCCCCAGCAAACCCGAGCTCGCCAAGCCACCGTGACGTAAAGAGAACCTAATCTCACAACCACTTTCCACTGCAAAACTATACGCGTGCAACGTGCTGCTAATCACCCTATTGGCTCGCCTATGCTGAGAATTGATCCTTCTAGCTCAAGGGCCATGTCGGTCCAGCGTCCGAGTCGTTGGCGCTTGTGCAAGGAGCTGGGGAAGACACAAGACGTCTGACTAACAATGAACCATGGTGCTCTTTGTCAAGAATAAATCTCTGCCCTCGACTATAAGAGTCCTGGGGGCCTTGCGAGATTCACTATAGAAACCACTCCCGACTAACACGACTTTCCACCTGCGTCACCTACATACCTAGACACCATCTATCACCATCATCAACAACAACCAGACACGAGTCACCTTACCGTCACACCGCTGCCAAACATTCAATGAACATCAACGACTTCCCCTACGAAGTTCTTACCCAGATCCTCGAGGAGGTTACCAAGGCCAATATACGTGATGGTCCCACGTATACATTCGGTCTCCAGCAAGCACCACTGCCACTCGAGAGGGCCAAGCTCCAGCGCTATGTGAGAGGCCCGGTTCCGCCAGAGCTCCTCAAGTGGGACGCGACTGCCACGCTGCGATCAGTCTGCTGGAAGTGGCACGAGTGGGCTCTGGAGCACTCCATCAAGGATGTCTATATCCGCCGCTGGAAGGGAGGAGAAGTAAGCACACGTTCGTTACTTACCATAAGCATCATGCTAACGAACATCAGCGATGGGCCGAGCTGTCCAACAGGCGAGAGAGCTACCCACTCTACGAACTCATTGATCGCCCGACTGGCACGGCTGTGTACCGCGACCCTTTCGCCTCACTCAAGCGGACGGTGAGCATCTGCAACGACTACCCAGAGGTGGCCGCCAAGGTTAGACGCATGTGGGTACACGGTTTCTACACCGCCGAGACCGATCGTCTAGTGTTCCAATCGCTCAAGAACTGCACCAACATCACTTCGCTTTCTCTTCCGTGGACCACTATCCGTCACGTGGACGCCAAGGCCTGGCGGACTGTCCTCACTGGTACGGGTAAGCCACTGCAGTCGCTGGAACTCCAATGTGTCGACCCTACTTCGCAACAAGCAACGGACAAGGACAATCTCGTTGATCTGGAGCCACTGCAGTCGGTCAACTTCAGCCAGCTGCGACGTCTGAAGATCTTTGGTGACACTAGCTTCATGCCCATCACCGACAATGATCTCTTCGCCATTGCTCGCACTGCGACACAGCTGGAGGAATTCCATCTGACGTGCAACTCTTCCATCACTATCGACGGTGTCATGGCCATTGTCAAGGCGTCTCGCAAGACTCTCCGAGTGCTTGAGCACAGCCCGCGGTCACAGGATGGCTTCTGGCACCCACACCCGGGATCTCCGAGCGACTGCGAACATCTGTGCGACACTTTCCGAAACTGCCCTAAGCTCGAGACTCTTTCCATCTCGCTTCCTTCTGTATGCTCCCATCTCTTCTCCAACGACAATGCAAAGTTTGCCGGCGACCTGCAGGTACGTGCTTTGCACTTGTGTGAGCACGAGGACGGTCGCTCCACTCAGGAGGCCACCGACGCCCTGCAGAAGCTACTGGAGCAAGCCCGTCGCTTCATCCGCCTTCGCGCGGAGAGCGCCATCCCTCGCGATTTGTACGTCGAGCTCTTCTTCGCAGAGTGCATCTTCGAGCCCGGTTTCCAATCCGTGCATGGCGACTTTTCCCTGGCGCAGATCTCGTCTGATGGGCACTGGCCACAGAACGTCGACTTCAGCGGCAAGGGACCTTATGGCAGCACCGGTCTATACGGAAAAGAAGAAGAGGCGCAATTTCAGCGCATCGACGAGGCCGACTTTTTGGCCGGTGTTCGTAGGAGGCTCCTCTCCATTCAAACTTGATTGCGACAAATAACGGCCGAAACTTCACTTCAACTTGTAAACCTTGATCACCAACCTTTTTTACTTACGAAATTACGACCACATGCATGAGCGACAGGCCTGGAGCCAGAAAGATACCAGGCTGAGCAGCCACATTGTATTCATGCATTTGGGGAACTTCATAAACGAGAACAAGGCCATGTCTCGAAAAGCGACTACTGTGTATTTTCCCGTTGGGATGGCGGGGTGTCTTTTTTGTTTTTTTCCTCTTTGCATCTTGTTAGCATTTTAGCGTATGTACTTCAACCAACATAATGAATCAACTTGGCACACTCATCTGGCGTCGTCTCATGGCTCATCTGTTCTGCATCCATACTTGCGCATACACCATGACCGATGGTTGAGCAAGCAACACGAACAACGCGCGACGAAGAAACTTCGCGAAGCCTCTGCTCTAAATTTGCCAAACGGCTCCTCCGCTTGGCGATCACCAACAACACCCACCCCGCACCTGCAGCCCACGCACCCACACTCTCCCAAAGCGGACAAGCCCAAGGTACATTTCCGCAGTGTCTGCTTACACACCGCATAGTCATTCCCTCACAGCAGCTAGCTGTACTCCGGATGTCAACCTCTTTCTCTATCCGAGCTTATCAACCTTACCTAAGCGGCTACGCCGTGCTAACCACTCAAACGTGGTAAGTACCAGATCTGGCACGGCACGCCGAACGCCGACCGATATGCTTGCTGAATAAGAGGCGGAAGAAGACCGCACTAAACTAAGTCGTATGCTGGACCTGGGGGCTCTGTTGAGAAAGAAAGCAGAGTGGCAGGTTTGCCGGGAAGGCTGTAACAAGAAAAATGCCGGTGGGAAAGTCTAGCATAATCGTATTTTGCCAGCGAAGTGCAAAAAAAACCCATTGGCAATCACTTACCAAAGACTCATGTAATCGTTGGAAATGATCCATGACGCTACTGCATCGGGGGTATATGTGGGGCGCTAGCCGTGCGGCCATGCTCCATGCAGGATAGCGATGCGGCTATGAGGGGCAGAATGGCGCAAAGCTGTTGGTAACTGCTATGCAAGCAAGCTTAGCTACCCAGCTGGCCCTATGAGGTGGTCTCGGTGCTATGGGACCGGTGTATGGCATGATGTATTTCGAGATGCTGGAGATCGGGGCCAGGGACAAGATAGGATAAACCGACAGGGTCATCTGTAGTGGTAGCTGGTATCAAGTATAAGAAGAAGGGACCACCCCACCCCTCGAAAGCTCTCCAGTTTACCTCCTTATCCTCAACACATACGTCCTACTTCACTTGCTCTCTGTTGACTTTGTTTGATACCCCAATTCGTTCAAGATGGCTCCCAAGATCGCGATTGTGTACTACTCCATGTACGGCCACATCAAGAAGATGGTATGTTGTTCCTGTTGTGTTGTCCTGTGGAAGTTGCTGTCTACCCAACGGCTCCCCGCATGATTCTCCTCTCCAGTCTCTCAACTGAGATCTTCTGCTAACATGGTTACAAACAGGCCGATGCTGAGTTGAAGGGTATCCAAGAGGCTGGCGGTGATGCCAAGCTCTTCCAGTACGTGACCTCTATCCAGCACATCCAACACCACGATCCCCAGCTCGCAATCATTCCCACAGCCGCTCAAATCTTCACCAAACAAGCCCCTCCCTATCCCATGTCGAGAGCAATCACTAACGACACAACCACAGAGTCGCCGAGACCCTCCCTCAAGACGTCCTCGACAAGATGTACGCGCCTCCCAAGGACTCGTCGGTCCCCGTTCTCGAGGACCCAGCCGTCCTCGAAGAATTCGACGGCATCCTCTTCGGCATCCCCACCCGCTACGGCAACTTCCCCGCACAATTCAAGACCTTCTGGGACAAGACGGGCAAGCAATGGCAACAAGGCTCCTTCTGGGGAAAGTACGCCGGTGTCTTCGTTTCGACGGGCACCCTGGGCGGTGGCCAGGAGACGACTGCCATTACCAGCATGAGCACGCTTGTGCACCACGGTTTCATCTACGTTCCCCTGGGCTACAAGACTGCGTTTAGCATGCTGGCCAACTTGGACGAGGTCCACGGTGGAAGCCCATGGGGTGCTGGTACTTTTTCTGCCGGCGATGGATCGAGGCAGCCCAGTGAGCTTGAGTTGAACATTGCGCAGGCTCAGGGTAAGGCTTTCTACGAGGCTGTTGCCAAGGCGCATCAGTGACTAGATGATGGAAAGACTGCTGGCCTTGTTGCTGAGAACAAGACGGTAGAGAATGGGAATGGAGTAACGACAAATGGTAGCACTGCTGCTGCTGCTGCTCCTACTTCTACTCCTGCTCCTGCTGCGTCTTCTTCGCAACCCCAGCAGAAGACGGAAGAGGACAAGGATAAAGAGGGCGGTCCGTGTGGATTGCCTGCAAAGTGCGATATCATGTAGACTTTGGCCTTTCCTCTCTACTTCTTCTTTCCTACTTGTGGAGATTTGCAATGGAATGAAACGAAATGAAATAATTTAGCCATGAGAACTACGCTCGAGTCTCCGAACTGTACTGATGAAAAATGTGTGTGTGTGTCAATCCTGATTGATAGAACTGGGCCAAGCTCGAAAGAAAGAAAGAAAGAAAGACATTGGGTATCATTATTTCCTTAGCTAACACTCCAACACAGAATCCATAAATCTGGATTAAAAGAAAATATTCTCCATAAGGAAAAAAGAGTTCCGTCGAGCCCTTATACCAAAAGGAAACTCCATCTACACCAAGAAAGAAACAACCCCAAGGTCCTCAATCCCTATTCGCTATCGATCCTTGTTCCCCGCAATCACCCACCCTTCTTCCCCTGCCCCTCCTCCTTCCCCCCTGGAACATGATCATGAACGAAGCCATCCACCCAATCCTTGACCCCATCAGCTTTATGCGTCAACCACTCCCACCAACTCTCCTTTTCCTTCTCCGCCCCCTCGCTCGCTTCCTTGTCGCCTTCCTTATTCTTGAGTTCGTCTTTACTTCCATCCGCCGGAGTGGGCCGGGCCGGTACTACTGGGTCGTGAAGCGAAGGAGAGGTATCTTCCATTCCGGACGCGGATGCTGCGATGGAGGATAAGGAGTTCAAATCCATGGACGCGAGATCTGTCGACGAAGACGAAGAAGGAATAGTGTAAGCAGGAACGGGGTCCTCGGGCGTGTGATTCTCATTCCCGGGCGCATCCTCGTCGTCGTCGTGCAACCCAACTGGTTTCAACGGCAGGCGCAACGTCCCATTATTCGGGGCGGGCGTGAGACCCAGCGTATCGCAAACGATATTGTACAGTTCGATATTCTGAAACGGTTGCATTCTGCTGCCGGGCATGTGCGGGAAAGCCGGCCCCCGAGCAATAAACACGGCTCTCATCAACGGGTGTTCAAAATCATATCCGTGCAGACCCCTCGGATGGTATACTTGGCCCTTCTTCTTGCCCGCTTCGACGTCGAATTCGTCCCTTGTGACAATCGCCCAACCGGTTTTGGGCACGATCCAGAGAGGCGCGATCCGCTTGTTGCGACTAAAGTGGTACCGCTCCGGCATATCCTCGTCTCGCAAGTAAACGTCCACGTTAGGATTCTCCTTTGTGCGTTGTTTGATCTGGTTGTAAAGCCGGTGTAGAGAATCCGGATCTCTAGGGCGTAAACCGTAGAGCGGCCAGCCATCCGTATGTTCGAGTTCCTTTGGATCGACCAAGTCTTCCAGTTGAATCAATCTCGTCACGTCCGTGGTAGCCATGCCGTGGTCGCTCACGACGATGACGTTTACAATGTTGGTCAGGTTGCGTGCTTGCAGACCAGACAGGATACCTCCCACCATGGCATCGGCGCTTGCAATCGTTTTGCGGATCTCGGTGCTGTTGGGGCCGTAGCGGTGACCGTCGCCGTCGACGTCGGGGACGTACGCTGCGATGAGCTGGGGCCTGGGCGCATTTGCTTTGGCGCCCACGTCTCTGGGGCCAGGGGTGTCGAGGAGCGACATGATGCGGTCGACCTTGCTAGCAAGCACTTCGGAGCCGTTGTACTTGTCAACGTAAGCAATCTCCTGATGCAGGATCTTGGCTTCGGAACCGGGCCACATGTGCACCGCCGTCCGTACACCTTGTTTCTCGGCCGTCACCCAGAGGGGTTCGCCACCCCACCAGTGCGCTTGCAGGCTGCGGTCTGGGTCTGTGTAGTAGAACTCTTGCTGTAGTTCAGGGTCCCAGAATGTGTTTCCTACCACGCCGTGTGCTTCGGGGTACATGCCCGTGGCCATTGTGTAGTGGTTTGGGAATGTGACGCTGGGGAAGCTGGGCATCATGTACTTTGGCGAGATGCCTTCTTGGACGAATTGGTTCAGCGTGGGTGTCAGATTTCTGAACAGAAAGTCGGCGCGGAAGCCGTCGAGGGAAATGAGAATCGTGGTCGGAGCGAAGAGCGAGGTGCCGTTTGATATCAGGGTTACTGCGCCCTTGACGTCTTTTGGGGTGGAGAGATTGTACGTAGCTGCAAGGAGGACGACGAAGAGAACGATGATGGATACGTAGATGGCCATGCGTCGGTATAGGCTTTTCCTGCGTGTCTGTAGCAAGTATTAGCTTTTTCATCTGCGCATTCGCAGACTTTACATACCTTTCTCTGCAGCTCGCTCGCAAGTAATCGCTGTTCATCGCTCTGGGAACTCCTCCTTGACCGGAAACTGGTACTCGATGCGCCAATACCCTCTTCCATTTCGTACATGAGCGCACTCGCTTCTTCATTGCCGCTTTTCCTGCGCCCCTTGGTCTCACTCTTCTTGTCCCATTTGCCGACCTTGACCCCGGAGCCTTTACGCCCTAGGATACCCTTCCCACCATCTTCGCGCGTAAGAAGCCTCTCGCGCTCATCCTCCGAGTCCAAGATATCGCGGTCGCGCTCGTCAAGGTCGCCGGACGGCCGGCCGTCGTATGCTTCGTCGTCGGAGGTGTGGTCGTAGAGAGTGCGGTCGTCGGTGCCTGCGTCGGAGCTGGCGACCCTGTGCGATTCGTTGTGCGATTGCGGTTGCGGTTGCGAAGACATGATCGCGTTCTTCGGGTGACGTTATCACATCGCTCGAAGTATCGAAAGACACGTTGCGCGCCCGCTGTGGTGCTCGATATGTTGGGGGTCAGCGACCCCAGACGTGTCTCTTGGCATTCATGTTTCACGCGTGCAGGAATGCGACGTTGGTCTCGCGTATCGACTTGATTCGGCAATGGACCCAACAATCAACAACCTCCCCCTCACCCAGAGAACTGAGAACCAACAAGTTCATTCCAAGATAACCATATGCATATGAACAAGTTCTAGAGATTGACACACATTGCTCTCTGAATATCCAAAAAGAAGAAAGACTAACCATCTCCCTGACACTACACTCTACTCCATCTCAAAAACCACCCTTCCCCACGCATCAACCCACCTACACCCCATCCCTCCCACCCTCCCCTCTGAACAATCCCACAACACCAACCACATACACTCCACCAGCTCACCCCAGCAAAAAACTCTCACCTCACCCAAATTCCCCACAGCACCATGCTTCGCACCAACCTCGCGATGCAAGCTCGTAGCCCAACCCAGTCTACCATCCCCCAGCCGTTCACAAATTGCGTCCCAAAAGTGTTTTTGCCTCGTTGCGGGCCATTGCGAACAGTCGACGGACCACCAGCCGCGCGTATCAGGTGCCGGGGCGTGCAGTTTTTTGCGAGGTTGGAAAAGGTTGCTAGGATGCTGGGTTTTGAGGGAGGCGAGGTAAGGTGTTATTTGTGAGGGCCAGGTTAGAGGGGTGGTGATGCCGATCTTGGGTTCGGGCGCGAGGACGCTGTGTGGGAGTGTAGAGAAGTCGATGGAGGCATCGGAGTCACAGTCGGCTTCGTGTAGGCTTTCGATCTCGTGTTGTGGTGTTGAGACTGCTGGCTTTGGCGCTTCGTCTAAGCGCAGGGCTTCCTGTTGTCTTGCAATGGTAGAGGTAGGGGCGGGAGGTGGAGTTGGGGGAATATGCGTTTTGATTGCTGCTGCTGCTGCTGCGCCAGCTTCTTCCAGACGTGTGCTCTTACGGCGACTCGCAACTGTAGTGGGTACTTTGAAGGGGGCCGCTAGCTTTGACGCGCCGTTCAGGCGCGAGCTTCTTCGTTTTACTCTTGTGAGTAGGCTATCGAACTCCAACTCTGGACGGGCTTTTGGGTTGCCAAGCGACGTGACCTCTGCTGTTTTACTTCCCTGTAGGCGCGCACTCTTACGACGACCCACGACTGTAGCGGGTTCCTTTAGCAAGGGCGTAGGTCGAGGCGGAACAGTCTCTTCTGCTATAGCAACAGGTATGGGCTCTGCTGGTGCATCGGACGACGGAGGATCTTCTTGCGCAGCATTCTCAGCGACCAATTCGGCTTCGTCTGAATCTTCCCAAGATATCGGAGAGCTGCTCTCAGGTCCACTTTGCAGCGGTTCTTCTGTCGTAATAGCAGTCATCTGTTCAGTTGGCTCATCGCCGTCCAAAGGAACTTCTTGCGTAAAAATGCCAGCATATCCATCAGATTCAACATGTCTTTCGTCTGTATCGTCTTCCGAAGTGTTCTCGTCGGTCATCTCAAAACTATCCGGCATCTGACTGTGCAGCGCCGATCTTGCCTCTTGCGTATCTTCGATGAACGCCGTGTCGACATCTTCACACTCTTCCTCTTCCCCATCATACCAATCTTTTGCACCCCGCTGTCTACTAGCAGCGCTTGATTTGGGAGTCGTCGTTACTTGCGCCTTCCAATTCTGGTGGATTTGTTCTAGACGGGCAAGCCGACTGGATGGTGGAGCATGATTATCTTGTATTTGCGATAAGCCTGATGGGAAACTGCCATAAGAATCTTTACCCGTTGATAGAAACGAAGCGTCGACGTTGGGGTCGAATGAACTACCGGGATTTAGTACCGCCGGATCGCTCATTCGGGAAGCATCCGCATCCTGACTTGACACATCTGCACGAGGCTGAGGTGGCCTGTCTCCATGGGTTCTGGCGGGTTCGAAGTCGAGATAAGCGTTAGCCAAGGAACGATAGAGTTGGTCGTTTTGACGGGTAACGGGTGCGGAGATGTGAACCAAAAGTTCGTGCTCATGGACCATAATTGATTGCAAGCAAGTAGAGGCAATGGTGTTCAATGGCCATCATCGTAGAACATGTGGAGCCGATCCAAAAGAAAGCCCGCACGAATCGTCGTTACATGGAAGGACAGTAGAAGTCAAGTGTTGACGTGAGCAAGGGTTCAGCCTAGCAATCTCCGACGCCACTACTTGGCAGCTGCATTCGGTCTGTGCACGATCTTACATGCAATACTATCGGATGTGATCATACCTTTCAGGTCGCATGTGGCAGTGTAGAATACAGAAAATAGTCTCCTGGATCAAGATATGATGTTTATATCACAGACGGAATTACTCGTTCAGCTCAAGGACAGCATTTGTCCAGCATCATCATTCAATGGTATGTCGTCTATCATGTAAACCATCCCTACAGAGTTATCGCTGAGAAAAAGAATTCGAACCACACCACTTTTGATTTCCCCTTTTTGAGAAAACTACTCCTCATCCTCCTCAACCGCCTGCATCTCCTCAACATCCTCCTCCTCAAAGGTGTGCATGGGCACGGAGTAGAGGCGGAGAAGGGACTTGTTGGGGTCCTTGACAAGGACGTATTTGCCTTCGTCCATGCGAAGTACCATGTCAACAATTGTGCGCACAATAGCCCAGCCGTTGTTGAGGTTCAGTGCCATCTGAGCGGCAAAGTCACGGGGCTTGGCGGTAAGGACACCGAGGATGACGTGGTCGTTGTTGTTCTTGGGGTTGGTACGGGATACGAAACTGTCATCATGTTAGTCAGGATCAATGCGAAATGATGGAAATGCATACCCAAGCTTCATGGTGTCGGCCTTGGCCAAGATACTCTGTACAGTCCAGCGAGCAAGCTTGCAGGAGTTGTTCTTCATCTCAGTGGCGAGGACAGCACCACGCTGGCTGGCGAGCTTCGACCTCCAGTCGAGCGCACCACCGGCTCCTTGTGCCTTGTTGTCGAACTCGTTCAGGGCCTTGATGGTCAGGTACTGGTCTTCGCCGTTGATGTTGTTCTTGACAACAGCGTCGAGCTCTGTTCGGACAACAAGGTGCAGAGGCTCCTCATCCTTGTCGAGCGACAAATCGAAGCGGCGGTACCTGTATGCCTTGGACGCTGGCGGGTCGGTCTCGACCTCCTCGTTGTAGAAGGGGTGCTCGTGGGGCATGTTGATCTTTTGCGTCTCGGACTCGGAAACGACCTGCAGAGGGAAGATGTTGTTGATGTGGGTGGCTTCCAGCATGAGAGCGCCGGGGCTGTTGATGGAGTCCTTGTTGCCTTCGGAAATCTCGAGGGGCGCGTCGGCGGCGTTCTCGTTGACTGTGACCATGTCCAGGCTTGAGCCGTCGCGTTTGTCGATGAAGACCTTGTTGCCGCGCTTGGTGAAGACCAAGTCCCATGAGTAGACGGACTTGGTGGCGCACATAAGCATGGACAGGACGCCGTCGGTAGCGAATACCGTCGCCTCGTCCTTGTCGGCAAGCTCTTGCAGGATGGGATCGCTGGAAGTGGTGACATTGTAGGCGGCGCGGTCGAGGACGTTGAGTTTGCGCTCCGAGGTCCTCGCGCCGGGCTGCTTGTCGTAGCTGCGGTCGTAGTAGTAGAGGAAACCATAGTTGTCGATGTCCTCGCCCTCGTGGGTATCCAGGTTGAGCTTGCTGAGACGGGAGAAGTCAATCTCCTCCATGACGTTCCACTCGGGCTTGACCTGTACGGAAGCATCACGGTTGCGCTGGGGCTTGTCGTCCCTCCAGCCGAAACGGCGTCCTCCCCTGCCTCCACGTCCACCGCGCTGGTTGTCGTACTGGTTTCCGCCACGGCCGCCAACACGCTGGAAGGTGCCCCGCCCTCCGCGTTGCGCCTGCCCGCCTCGTGCTCCTCCTCGTCCACGGAAGACGGTACCGCCGCCTCGTCCGAATCCTCGGCCGCGGGCTGATGTGCGTGTGTTGTCGACGACGGAGAAGGTGGCCTCCTCCTCGGCGGCCTGGATAGCGAAGGGGTTGGTCTGTTGGTTCGCGCCGTATACCTGCTGGTCTGTGAAGCGTCAGTTCGCTGCTCTTTCTTTTTTCTTTGCAGTATAAATCCAGCCATACCCCGGTAGTTGCGGTTGCCGTACTGCTGGCGTCCTCCCCGCTCGCGGTCCTTGCCCTCAGTCCAGTCGGCCATGCGACCCAGCTTGTCCGCCTTGGAGTAGGGCGCAAACGGCACGCCGTCGAGCATCGACTCGGAAGTGACTGGCGGGCCCCATCCTGCGGTGTCGGGCAGCGCGGACACGAGGTCCAGTAGTGATGCGGGTGCCATTTTGTGTTAGTGACTGTAGGTGGTTGTTGCCGCACAGAAATTATGTGGGCAGTCAAAGTTGGCGCTAACGAAACGAAATTCCTACCCCGCGGGCAACTTCACCCAACTACCACACTCACTCGACAGCGCTCCAGATCCCACGAAAAGCTTGCTTCGTCAATTGATGCTCCATAACGCAATACTCTCCCCAGCCTAGTGATATGCGCTTCCTCTTTCCAACATCAGATCGTTCTTAGAACAATTCCAAGAATACTGAACAGCAGGGGCAACAACGGTGCACACTGCGAGAATGTGCTTGTTGCGTTTATCTCGACATCATCTACAGACGCATGCGCGCTACATCCTGCCCAGGGTCTAACTCTAACTAGCTATGTCACGCCCTCTAACCCCAGTATAGGGCCGCAGCTGCATAGACCTGTGAGCCTATCGTTGCAAAGCTCCCACCCTCTCAAGTCCTCACCGGTCTCTATTAACCGGTGAATGGAAAAGCAGATGAACAAGTTCCTATCCTCCCAAGCATGCTCGCATAGCTTTCAGCTTCTTCCCCGTATCTGCAATTCCGTTCAATATCTCTTCAAATTCACGAACCTCGAAGTGTTCTTGCTTCGTTTCTTGTTTAATCTCCCTTTACACAGCATGCGATACGAGCCCCTCGACAAGTCGAAGAACGAAATTCGTGTTCTGAGGTTTCTAGGTCCTTTTCGTTCTATTTCGGCTGAGGAATCGATTGAATGCACGATCGAGAATGTTCCGCTGGAGGAAGATTCTTTCTACTCCCAATCAGATCAAAGCTACACGCAAACCCAAAAGTACCCAATAATGCGGGACAGATTCACGAAATGCGTAGATCTACGAGATGCGGCTCTAGAAGAATTGACAGTCGAGAAGGCCATATATACGGGCCCCAATCAGGCTTACAGTCAACTCAACAAATCGCGTTTTGTCTGGGGAGATTTCGAAGCTTTGTCATACACGTGGGGTAAACGAGGTGATGTAAAGAGCATCGTCGTGAACGGAATGCACAAAGACGTTCCAAAGAATCTCGAGGTAGCGCTGAGAGCTTTGCGAGATCTGCCTGAGACGCGTCTGGGTATGCGTTATTGGGTAGATTCATTGTGCATTAACCAGGAAGATGAGAAAGCGCGCAACGAACAAGTCAAGCGTATGAAAGCAATCTACGGTCGAGCCAGGGCGGTCATAGTCTGGTTAGGCCAGCAAGGAAAAATCGACAAGGTTGCAGTTCAGACGATGCAACACTTTTGTCTGGATCCATATCTGGAGAATCCACTTATGCTACCAAAGGACTTGCTGACTGACGGATGGTCTGCTCTTTCGGCCTTTGCACAAAAGCCTTATTGGAGTCGAGCGTGGATCATCCAGGAGCTCGCTATGAACCACAATTCGACCTTGATATTGTGCGGAGAATTTCAATTGACGAGAAGAATGATACGCCTAGGTGCTGGCTACTGTCAGGAGTTGCTGAAAGCCTTCCAAGACAGATCCGATCAATCCGATAATGTCTTAGGACTAGACTTATGGCCCCTTGCAAGTCGCATGTACCGCCTAGCAAGTCTTGTCTACAAGCCAAATTTTGAAGAAGGTTTGACTGTGTTGCTGAACCTTGTCCGCGGAGCCGAGGCAGCCGATGCAAGAGACAAGGTCTATGGTATACTTGGGTTGTTGGATCCTGCCATCTCCGCAGATATTGCTCCAGATTACTCACTCTCAGACCAGGAGGTCTATACAAACTTCATGAAATCTATTATCAAGAGATCGGGACGGTTGGATGAGATTGCGTATGTAGGTACCCACGTAGAGAAGGCTTGGCCGTCATGGGTCCCCGACTGGAGATTGCCATTTGGTCGCCACCACTTCCAGTATCTGAGATCCCGTTCGGCGAGTGGCAATGAAGCCATGAGAGTTCGATTCGTTGAGCAGGGCAAAAATAGTACACTTCTTGTTTGCAGCGGATTGCAAGTGGACATAGTCGATGGTACTGCAGCCGAACCTCCCCTACATCGTTCTACTCAACCACGCTACGCCTTGAATAGATATGGCAGTCGCAAATCCGAAGCAGTCCAGCAGACCTTGCTTATGGGCCACTCTAAAGCTACTCCAGGCACAATCGTGGGCTATCCTAAAGCGACTACAGGCGTACTCAAGTCTGGTGTGACTCGAAATGTACTTTTCAAAATACCTTGGCCATTAGAACATAGTTCATCGTCACGACGGCCAAAGATCTGTCAGTCAAGCTACTTTCAAAGATTTGATGAGTTCAGAAAACATAATCGAGGCTTCTGTATCGGAGGCCAGAGTTTTGAAAGCTTCTTCCCAACGGCTCATAATAAAGATTTAGAAGTAGAGCTTACGCTACGTCATTTGCGTTTGGCTATGCTGTCTTTGGAACAAAGAGCTCTCATAACAACGGAAACTGGTTATTTGGGACTGGCCCCTACAGCTGTTCGCCAAGGAGATGTCGTTGCTATCTTATTTGGCTGTAGGTTTCCTATGGTCTTGAGGCCCTACCTTGATGACATGTATCAAGTCATCGGAGAATGCTACATCCACGAACTCATGGATGGGGAAATTTTGAGTCAGGAGCGTGACGGCCATGTTTCAGCGCGGGAATTTGTCCTGTGTTAGTTGGGCTTTTGTTTATGCCCAGGTTTTATAAGCTTCTATTTATTCTAAAATAGTCTTTCTTTACTTCCTCTCCTTCTTTATGACATTTTGAAGGGAAAGCATGCTAACTACTACTCTCCTTTCTTCCTGAATAGTCCCACTTCATCGACTGTACCGAAACCAGCTCTTTGCACTACTGAAACATTGTTCTCGCACCGCTCCATCCCAGACGTAGTAACGAAACCTGACTGTGACCTGTTGTCTTCCTGCATACCTGCATGCACTTCACGTCCGCTCAAGAGCGTGTCGGTCTCCTTCTGATCTTCTCCACTGACTTCAATCAGCTCCCCAAACCTGACTTCCATTTCCCGGAGTTCCTCTGAAATATTTTCATATCCACCTAGCGTGCCAGAGCCTTTCGTAATCACCGCTTCGAGTGAAGTGCGTCCAGTAGTCGTCATGAGAAGCTGCAAAAACCCTCCACCGATGGCCGAAACACCGTGATTCTGAACGTAGAGAGCTACAAATCCTAGCGCTAGGATTGGTACGGCGAGTGCAAGTGATAAACCGTATGGCAGGATTAAGGCGAGCTTGTTCTCGAAATGGTAGGCATTGAAATTGAGGGTTTCTGTTCCATTGACAGTGTCGAATCGCTGGTTGAGAGCCAATGCAGAGATTGTAGTATTGATGAGTAGCTCATTGGCCATATCAGGATCAAAAGCTGGGCAGCTACGAAGATCATCACTCTTGGGAAGTCGCTGTGCGAAGACCCCGAGGCGCCAAACGGTGGCCCCGATATCTGGTTCTCCTCCAAGCGAATAAACATTAGTTGTCCAGCCCGCTTCGAGCACGCATGTTTCCACCGGGGTGCCATTGTTAGTTGTGTAAAGCTTCGTCTCATCCGACATACTGGGAGCTCTGGAACTATAAGCCACCGGATTGTGTGAGGACTGGTTGAAGCTCTTCGCAAAGTCCTGATATATCATTACAGCGTCGGAGAGCTGTGCCCATTGCTCAAGACTTCCGTTGAAGTTGACAAGATACGGAGTCCATGCTGGTATAGATATATCTTCGTTTATGATATACGATGCATGCTGTGTGCCTCCAGCGTCTGATATTGTAACCTGATATTCTACTATCTTTGGATGGCATACTGTTTCGGTTACAGGGACAAGGACATGTATTCCAGAGCCCGGCAACTCGAAAGGTTCCATGACATATCCATCCGAGTCATTGATAGTGGGCATCAGTCTACTGTTGTCTAAACATGGCCAATACTGTACCGTATCTTGGTAATGGGAGACACGGTAAGTGATAGATGTGTTTCCAGAAAATGGGACCAACGATAGCCATGCGTCGGTCTGTATCGTACATTCAGGTTCAGGCATTCGGATTTGCCAAAGAGTATCGTAAGTGTTGACTTGCGAGATCTTGGTTTCCAAGACGCGATTCGTGGTTTCGCAGTCCAAGGCAGTTCCGAAGAAACTAAGTTCATACGATGTGTTCTCTTTGCTTGCTTGCTTCAGGCTGGAAATTTCTCCCACAATCAGGTTTGATCGTGTGATGTAATCCATATCAGGTGTTATGCTATAGAAAGATGAGCAAATGATAAGATGAATCTTGGTGGAATTTTGACAAAAATTGGGAGAAGGAGACTGACTTTTCCACAATACAAGTTTCTAGAAACGACATCTTCTTTGTCAGTTCTGGAAGTGGTGGCTTGCGTACCGCACAGCTACCGTCTGGACATCTGTCATAACATGATATTCGAGCTATAACATTGTCTTCTAGAATATCCTGAAGACTCCTGTGATGGAAGACGGACACATTGAAGCTTTTTTCGATGGAAGAAGGCTGTATCCCGACGATTAGGGTACCTGGAGGATAGAGTGTTGCAATAGGAACAAGCCAGCAAAAGATAGCCACGGTTGCAAGTATTGGGGTTTTGAAGTACAATTGGTAGTTCAAGAAATGGAGCGGGTTTGTTTGCACTTGAAAAAGATCCTCGATTAGGCCGATCTATACGTTGTTAGCTTGTACTCCTTTCACTATACCGGGCTGGATAGCACCTTGAGCACATGCTTTCTGAACGTTGCCCATAGATATTGTGTATAGCATGTCCCAATACTTGCTACTAATGCGGCACGGAATGCGGTGACTAGTATCAGCGACAGCGTAGTAGCATAGGCTTGTGGAACCATGGTAGTTTTCTCGGAGAGCATAAAACCTGGAGAGATGATCCGACCGTCAAGATATGTAAAGAAGCAGTAATGCGTGATTGCACAAAGAAACGCTGATTAGAATTCGTCAGTGCTGCGAACAGGCGGATGCACAACTCTACTTGTCATTTTTACCTATGAAGTAGAAACCCAATATTGTGGCTGGTATCCTCCACGTATGTTTCGTCCCCAGCCACCTTCCCAGTTGAGAGGGAGGCGGAGATTCGATCATGGATTCAGTCTGTTTGGAGAACGTGGGTTGTTTCGAAGTCTCTGAAGCTGCTTCTGGAGCTGGAGACGAAATTGGAGCCGGGACTGTATTGATGTCTGCCAGAAGAACTGAGTTCACATTGGGTTCTGAGCGGATGGGTTCAGTGTGCGGTCTCGTAGGAGCCTCGTTTGACACTTGAGGCTCGATTTGATCCGGTTGTCGCTTACGGGCGGTCGTGCCTTGAGGCGGGAAAATCGAAAACTCGTGCATCGTGGACGGTAAATAGGTACCTCGATATCTCTGGGCGTACCAAAGCTAGAAGATAGCTCTTAAATTGGCGGAAGAGATTTCAGGGGGATTCAAGATATGTTCACAAGATTGATCCAGGTATCGGGTTGCCCAATACAGCAGGTGATGAGGCTGAGGTGGGGCCCTACCAATGATTCGACGCCACAATTCTTGGATGCGTGAAGGATTCAACTGTTGAAACGCAAACTTCAATCAGGACTTCTGGAGTAGCCCCGATCCTACATATCAACAAAGCCTTCCCGCCACATTAGCTGTCCATCAGGCAGTCTCCTGCCACCACGGATGCGCCAAAACTTGGTCTATCGTTGATCTAGCCCCCTGGTAGATCTTAGTCGTTCCAGAGATCGTCTTTTGTGCCTCAGAGCCCAGCCCTTGTCCCCGCACCTCAAAGCTCATAGCTGGCCTCTCTTTCAACCCCAACTCAGCCAATTCAGATATTGTCTCTAAAGCTTTCGTCCATGCTTCGTCAGCGATCCGGTTGAGAAGACCTTCTTTCGGTGACCCAAAGTACATGAAGTGTCGCAGTAATACTCTTTGCTCGGGTATAATCTACTCTTGACGACCTCGCTATCCTTGTGTATAAGTATCGCGTCCTTGACCCCTAGGATATATATGCACTGTGCTAATGCTTAGCGTAAGTTCTGAGATGATGATGCATGAAAATAGCTTGGGTAAACTCACAACCAGTCTGAATGAGAAAACTTCTGATGCCTTGGACATGCCTCTCCCAGTCTGTGCTTCTGGACCGCGCCACATGTGGTTTCTTACTGCATGACGGCCGGTACGCACCGCGTTTGTCGGACACTTCCAAGCAATGTCGAAGTCACCTAAAGCGACATCGGTGATTGTCTTGGTACCCTCTTCATCGCAAGTCCAGTTTACTAGTATATTATCCGGCTTGATATCTGCGCAATTCTATTATCAATCAGGATTTCGTGATGGAAGATTCAGTCTTGACCGCACGCCGTACCGATATGATTCCAGTCCTTGCTATGTAGTTCTTGTACGGCTTCTTCTGCTGTCTGCCGCAAGATCCTTTTCCGTGCCGCATCAGAGACCTCTGGATCCTCTTGAAGCAGTCTAAGCAGGGTGTTTCGATAGTATGGATAGATCAGAAGCTTTTCTTCATCGTTCGAGTCAACATGCATACGAAGCCGACATGACTCGGGAAAGTCGGCTGCAAGGCGTAAGGACATGTCATATAATGTTTCGGAGACGCGCTTGAAGACAAAAGACTGGCCATGGGATCTGAAACCGGTTTTGTTGAGTGAGACTACAGACGTGGAAGTTCTGTAACATACTCAGCTTTGAAGATGCTCGACGGAGCATCTTTGCGCTCCGCGAGCACCTCGCGCTGGACGCATTCACGACCCGATTTACCTAGAATGGTAGATGCCAATCTGATACCTATACGTGGAGTTGGAAACACGTGGTGAGCTAGATGATTAACAAGCATAATTGGAGACTTGGGAATCAGAAGTTCATAGAGAGTATATTGTCTCAGTAGTTGGAAATTATACGTAGTGATCGTGAGTGGTGTTGGTTAGCACCAGAGTTGCTATCAGTCAATCAGTCAGTTGTCAGTTCATCTTTGCGGTTCAAACTGTCAGTCTGGAGGTAGTGAACTGACCTGATTGACTGCCAAGACATTTTTTAGAATCGCGAACTGAGACTGAACTGACTGCCAAGACCGCTATCTTGGTATTGCACTGACTGATTGATTGCCATCTGATTGCTATAGTTCAAAGTCGTGTCTACTAAGATGGGCTTGTACTGCGGCGATCTCAGCTGTCGTATGCCCTCCTGCTGGTGTTTTAAGACCTAATCGCCGCCAGCTTTTTAAGCACTGCAGTGCGTTAAGCAACTCAGGCTTCATTTGCAGCCGCCGTGTGCCTAGCATATCACCGAGCTCGCTGAACGTACGCTCACAATCAGCAGCTGAGGCTGGTATTGTAAGCACGTTGATAGCAAACTTAGCAAGCGTTGGGTACTGTTGCGTCTGTAACTGCCAGTACTTAAGCGGATTGAGAGCCATCGGATCGTCCTCTGCGATCGCTGGTACGCGTTTCCACCGCTCGTACTCATCGCCAAGATGCTCCTCTACCTGCTTAACAGCAGCGTCTAATTGCAACTTTAAGAAGGCAGATCGCGACGCTGTTGGACCAACAACACGCACTCTCTTTGCTAAGCGCCTCTTATCGCTGTCGCTTGTCGCGCTGCTAACTACTGTTGCTTCTTGAAAGCCTTTCCACATAGCTATAAAAGCGCGATGATTGTTTGTAAGCCATCTATCGCGGTAGTGAGGGCCGTCGCGCTGCGTGTTGTGATTATCAGGGACTTTCCATAGTGCCTCAAGGTGGTGCTTGTAGTGTGGATGAAGCACTGTAGCAGCGTAGTAGACAGGCGCGTCGTCAAACTTTGAGTAGTACTGCGATAGTTTCTTGTGAGCTAAGTTTACGTTAAGCATAAGGTGGTCTTCTGGCGCTAACAGATTATTATAATCAATATCCTTTAAGCGCTCTTTAAGAGCTTCGAGCTCGTTAAGTAGCCACTTAAAAGTAATTAGAACTTCCCATATTGCGCCGTGGCGGCCGTGTTTACCGCGTCCCTCTAGCAGCTTAGAGGCCTCTGCAAAGGGCGCTAGAAGCCTTATATACTCTGTAATTGTTGCCCAGTCGCCGGCATTTAGGCCACCCTTACGCAGGAAAAGCCTAGGTTCCTGAAACACGCTATCGCTGCCTCTAGGTCGTCGTGAGCGGCGAGCAATAACCTTGTTGTGGCGGCCCTCAGAAAGCTTATGCTTAACGTAGTTATCAAGCGGGCCTTGGAGCTCAACAGCGCGTGCAAAGGCAGCAAAGTATGAGTTCCAGCGCGTCTTAACTGGCCTAATCAGCTCTCGGAGGACGACAGGCTTACCCAACGACTTAGCTTCAACTTGTTAGAGCTTCTGTAACAGCTCGCGCGATTGGGGCGTACAGATAGACGCGATAATATTAAATAGTACACCAATAGGCCCATACTGACGCCACTCCTTTATGAAAGCCTCCTCGTCTTTAAGGCTGCCACCAGCGTTCTCGTATGCGTTACGGTCTTTGCCCTATATGATAAGTTGAGCTCCAAGATTAAGTATATGGCAGCAGCAGCGTAGACGCCGCTTAGAGGCGTCAAAGCCATATATACCAGCTAGATAATTAACGGCAGTATTATTGTTGTATGCGTTGTCAAGCACAAAGTAGCCCACTGACGCCTTGTCTACCCCGAAGTTTGTTAGCGTTCTTGCAACAACAGCGCTAATATTGTTACCACTGTGCTGCCTATAGAGCTCTGGCAAGCCTAGAACAAAGTCCTGCACATCGCCCGCTGCGTCTATCAGGTGTACGCAGATGCCAGTGTGTCCATGCTTGCTGCTGGTCGACGTCTAGTTATTGAAGGAGACATGGATAAGGGACCGCGCGCCGCTTAGGTAGCTTCGAACAGCAGGTATGTACGAGTGATACTCGGAGATAATCGCGTCGCGGAGAGACTAGTGGTTACGCCAAAGTACTGCCTCTGCTAACGGGTTAGCAGCTCAAATTAACTGGCGAAAGGTAGGCGTTTTAATAACGCAGAGGCTTTGGTTGTCGGCAGCTATCTAGTCCTTTAGCGCGTCTTGGAACTTGCGCTTTGTAAATGACGATGATATCTTATTCGCAACCTCCTGCGATACCTCAACACCACTATCGCGCATGAGGCTGACGATTAAGCCCTGGTTAGGATCGCGGCTTCGTCAGAGGGGTCCTTGGGCACCAACGCTGTGGCCGGGCACACCTTTAGCTAGGTGAGTAGCTGCCGCTGACGTTGATCCAGCGTCGTACTCGCCCCTAAGTTTCTTGTGTATGTGGCAATAGAAACAGAGCTAGTAGTTACAATGTTTGATACGATGATATACTGGCCAGCCGTACTTGTATATCCAACTTGGGGCACCTCTAGCGTGCTCTTTCTGTCGCCTCTCTAGGTACGGGACCCGTGACCAGTCTAAGCCGTCAAAAGAAGTATTATCAGCCTTATCTATAGCCTCGCTGATTAGCGCGTCAGTCGATTTGTTAATGCGATTAAGCTCGGTGTTGTTGTCAACAGATGGCGTGACTGACGCGTTCGCAGGTGGATCTCTGTGTTTATCGCGCTTAACAAGTCGGCGGAGGCTCTGATTTGATTGCTGGGTCATATTAGTACCAAGAGAAACTGGTATAACCTGTAAGTAGGCGCGTTGATAGATGGTAGCGTTGGCGTAGAGTTAGGATTTAAAGCGTTGCGCGATTGAGCTGCAACACTAAGGTTTGGCGCTAGCCACTTACAGAAACTATATTAACAGCCTCACTAACAGCCTTATCAACAGCCTAGAATAAGCCTCCGCAACACTATGTATCAATCTTATATCAGTCAATCCAGTCAGTTTAAGAGCTCTAAACTGAACTGACTGATAAGACGAGAGCTCTAAACTGACACTGAACTGACTGCCAAGCAATCAGTCAGTCAGTCAGTCTCATCAGTTTGGATTGATTGTTAGCAACTCTGGTTAGCACTCCACGTTTGTCAGCCTAACCGCCCACTTCGACCAAGAAAGGACAAGCGTCTTGGTACTGATGAAGCTCTATATGACTGTGTTAATACATCCACAACCTTTTTGTTCTCTGTCATACTGTTTGTTCAAGTCTCTGCCATTTCCTTCATCCTTGCCCTTCGAAATGAAGAAGACCGCGTCCAAGAACTCTACTATCTCCTTACCGGATACATAAAGACAACCTAGCATCCAAACCCTCTCTTCCTCAGGACTCCCAGAAACATCTTCTCAAGAACTTCTCGTTCGTGGAGTGAATATCCGAAGTTGACTAATGTAGTCTTTACAACGATCTTACTGAATCCACCTAACCTCGACAGAGTGATGTCGACGAGTTCCTGCATTTCTTCCAATGTTTCAAGCACAAAATTGATCAGCTTAATCGTCTCGATAGCCTGCAGGAACTTTTGCGGCATATGCTCCGTGCATCTGCGATCAGTACTGATAAAGCAGAACTCGTTCAGACGTGGGATCAAGGGAGAAATCTCTGCGTAGAATTGCCGACACACCGTTGTACTGGAGATCAACTCAGACAATGGGTAAACCGGGCTGCGTTCTATGCCTCTCCAATCGTCGGGAAATACAAGATGCATGAAGGAAGTTGGGATAGACCAGACACGTTGGACAATCTGAACATGCTGCACGGTGAAAGCGAGGGCGTAGATACGGTTCCTGATCTCGCCGGGTAGGCGGAGAAGCGGCGATTGGAGGCGATTACGCGCGTCGCTGCGTTCGTTAGTTATATTCGGCTCAGATGACTTGATACTTACACAAGGTCTGCGTCACCAGGTGACAGAGGTTGATGCATTTGGTGGGGCGGAGGTGTAGCCATGCCTGAGTTCGTTGACGAGACAGCGAAAAGCTGGTTGAGAAAAGTTGTGTACCGCGTGTGTGGTAATTATAAAGAGAGGAGAAAAGTTAAAAACGGTTACGCGAGGAGGAGGACAATCAAAACTGGGAGGTGAAGTGAGCGCAAACGCACCGCTCCAGAGCGCCGCACGCTGAAATGCAACATAAGATATAACAAGAACGGATAAGACACTGCTTCTCTTGTACACTGTTCTCTCTCACTCGAATAGACTACCGCTTTCTCCCTTGGTAAGACGTCTACACGCCACCTCATCGATGTAACACGGGAAAGCAGCGAATCGATATTATCCCAGAAAGTGCTTTGAAATGTTAATATGATCATCCATACCGAGAGCCAGTAGCTTGGATGCTTACATTGTTTCCGTGTTCATGTTGTTGATGAGCCGGACATGGAAACTACGTCGTTGTCACCTTCTAGATACCACAAGCAAGCTGGGTTTGTCAAAACCATGTCAAGCAACACCAATCCCACACTCCACTCACGAAATTGAGTCTGGACCGATGACCGTACCGATAGTTATAGTTTATCTCTACTCGCTCAGCATGCCCTGGCCTCTGAGAACATCTCTCACGGCCTCCTCGATATCCTCATCTTCTACCAATTCCAACCGCTGGTTCCAGAATCCGTTCTTACTCTCATCTCCAAGTGCTAGTCTCCCAAATGCAGCCCCCCTCGTCAAATCCATAATCCCCGCAAAATCGCCGTTATCCAACCTCTTCCTCCCTTTCGCAATCACCTCCTCACAAGTAGTATAATGAACACTCCATTTCTTCCCATCGACCTTCTCAATAACCTCCGAAATATCGCGCGGAGATACCTGGAACGACATTGTGAAAACGTACTGGTTCCTCGTCTCATCCGCATGGTCCAGAATCTTCACTACTGTTTCGCCAACTGTAGAGAGCGAGGTGAACGTACAGACGGATGTACCGTTGTCAATAAGCTCCACGCTTCTACTCTTGAGATCGAATCCCAGCATTCCACTGTACAGCATCCAGTCGAAGAAGCCGCCGCAGATTACACTTTTCCAGCTGAGCTTTCCCTCACCCTGTCCCTCTTCGTACTTGAGGTAGTCGACAATGCCCGCACGCACAGGAAGCACAACATCGTTATATTTGACAAATTCCTCGTTCCGCGAGTTTGGTCCGAATTCACTGGGGATGAAGCGCTTAACGCCTGCCCGTATCGCGGCGTCGATGAAGAAGTTCTGCGAGCTGAGGGCATGCCCGCCGATGAGAGAGACAATCGCATCCTGGCCTTTGAAGGCCGAGACAAGGGAGTTGAGTGAGACATAGTTTGCCCTAACGACGGGGACGCCCGAGGGAAAGATGGCAGAGGAGTCGTGACGCGTGACGATCGTCATGTTGTATTCTGGGCGCGCGGCAAAGGCGGCAAGGACGGGTGCGCCAAGAGAGCCGCCGGCGCCGATGAGGAGGACGTTTTTGTATGGTGGCATCGTGGGGATGGTCGTAGCTACTTGATGAGCGTGGGAAGTGATTTGTTTAGGGTGAGTATTGGGGGGGGAGTGATTGCCGAAGAAATGTACTTTGACTTGCGTCCCGGAGTATACATACTGATTCCGAGATTGAAATACACTTCCTTTGCTATTACAAGCTAAACAGGGGTATCATCCTGAACGACACAAATGCATACTCCAAGGCCCTTCGTTGCTTGGTAATTTTGATTGTTTAGCAACTATCGCATTCGACTTGTATAGCGCAAGTCCTAGTAGCTATTCTAGTTAAGATGTCTTAGTTGAAAACTGTGCCTTACGGCCGTACTGCAACAATTCAGTCTCTTTTCTAGTAATTGATGATATACCAAGGGAAAAACCAAGTACACTTGGCCCGTTCTGTCGAATTTAGCTTACTGGCTAGTCAAAGGGTCACTAGTACCAGTGTTCTCTGTATCAGTACTCTTGCTCTGTTCACTAATCACTTAGCTAATCTGTCTATACACGGGTCCCGCCAGTCGTCCGTCTGCACCAGTTATCTAAACATTCCACCAAATTTTTCGCGATCATCTGCACGATAGCTCTACAGGAATGCATGATTTCAGAACAGAAATCTTGTAGATAGCTAGTCTATCGCTGTCTACATTGAGTCCTCTCGTGTTCTCGAACGTGACAATTCGTAGAAATTAGTGACGCGTGCTTACAAGCTGTACGAAGCTTTCTATAACCTATAAGTCTGCTCAGTTAAGCAATGTTGGGGGCGCTTATGGCAAAAAAAGACAGCAAGGATTCATGTATCTTCGATGGCTATTCCGGATGGTGATGGAGGCGAAGGTTACCGCGCATCCACATGAGGTCATTCCAAGCGGACTTGCAGGGGTGAGTCAAGGACTGCAGAACTTAAAAGCAGGAGAAGCGAGCGCAGTGAAGTATGTATTCAAGGTACCTCACATAGAGGGTGCCAGAAAGAATCAAAGAGCATAAAGTAACTACAGTGTATCCTACAGGTGTGGTCTGGCAAACACCCATCATGCAATACCAACCGCACACTCACGAAAACGTGTAAAGCAGGAATTCTAATTTTCATCCCCATTACTTTATTTCTTTCTCTATGCCTGGACAACTACACACATCGCTGTGTATTCATTCCATGCTTCTCTATTCTCCCTCTTCTCTTTCTTCTAACAAGACGTTGTTGAAAACGCGATTAAACTAGCTCTACTATACTCGCTATGCTCTAATGATGAATGTGAAAGGAAAAGAGCCTGAATCGCAGCTGAACAAGCATAATCGTGCGATCCAAGAAAATTAATAAAGCTGTACCATGTATCCAAAACAACAAGCTCGGGTCGTGAAAGCGTCAAACGTAGTTCTCTCTCTCTCTGACCAGATGAAGAGAGAGACCACTCGTGAGGTATTGCCGCGCTGCGCTGTGATGCCGATAAGACGTGCCGCCCAGTCTATAGGGGGGATAAGGGACAATCGTATCGTTTCGAAACAACATCGATCATCTAATCAGTCCGTCCCTTACCATCCACCACATGTCCATTCTTCTGTTCCCCACTCTTCCTCGGAATCGTAAGACAATTGATACCCAAATAATCGCAAATACTCGTAATAACCAAATGCGCCCACTTGCCATACACAACGGCGGCAAAGACAAAGTACGCGCGGAGATACCACAGCTCGAACCCAGCCGAGACGGGCCCGAAGAAAGACGTTCCGGGGATGGTAAAGTACGGGTGATTAATAATCAGCGCGCCACCAATCATCGGCGCGAGCATGATTGTCCAATAGGGAAACGGCTGGTGCGTCAAGTGCGCAAGGATAATCTTCGTCGTCATCCTACCAAAGACGAGCGACATGGTCAAGCAGTACAAGACGAGGTGGTTGTCTTTGAGCAAACTTGAATAAGGCGAGCCCAGCCACGCAATGGTACACGTGACGAAGATGACAAGCGGAGTCCACTCCTTGAGTAAAGGTAACAGGGGCTGGTTCCTGCTGCGTCGTGCCTTGGCTACATTGACAATGCAGGCGGGGAGGTGCGCGACGAAGAAGGTGAAGAGGATAATGGGCACCCAGAGCTCCTTGAGCGTCACGTTGCCTATCTCCGCTGCGTACGACGGGAAGTAGTTTGCGAGGGGCGTGGACCAGATTTCTGGGCCGAAGTAGCCAGACATGCAAATAAAGGTGCATGCCAGTATCAGACCCTCTGTGCAAATGTACCCACCGTCAGCATATAATTCCTAGTAGGAACCAAAGGAGGAAGGTGTGAAGGGGGGAGAGGAACGCACCAGTAGGTCCATTGAAATAGCCCAAATACAGCGTATGCGTGTGGTATGTCTCCCACGTGGAGAAGAACATGGGAAGCACAGGAATCAGCGCGGTAAAGGCGCCAATCTTTGTGCTTCCATAGCCCACAGCCGCCGTTTCGAGGAGAGATGCCAAAGTGCAGTTCAAAGAGTCTATACCATGGCTAACGTTGCAAATCAGTATCATGATATTTTGGCGCATATGGGCTCATGATGTTTTGTTATCACGTACTCAAAAAGTTCGCCTAGGGGGCTCGATGTGCCGGTTCGGCGCGCTTGCTTTCCGTCGACGTTGTCCATGGTGGAGTACATCCACATGCCAAAGGCGAAGCTGTAGTATACCCATGAGGGCGCTGGTCCGACCAAATCCGGTATGTAAACCTCGAGGAGCACCACGTTTCCCAGAATGAAAAAGAAGCCTAGTAACGTGACGAGGTTCGGCGCAATCCACAGCGGCAGGAGCTCGACAAATGCATTCCACTGTATTCTCACGTCAGGTCCCCTATTGCCGACTGCGCGTGCGTGGAGAGGAGGGGTGTGCGTACGTAATGCTTGAGGATGTAGCGCGAGATGAAGGATTTATCGACGCTCGAGTATTTGTACGTGCGGAGGTGTTGCAACGCATCTTCTGAAACGCACTCGTGCCTTGCAGTTTCTGTTCGCAGTTGAATCGCATTAGCAAAAGGTCGCTTGATTCGACACGAGTTGAGGCGCAAAGGGGCGTTACCTTTGCTCGGCGGCATAGTGGGTGACGTGACGGGCTGTGGTAAAGACATGGAGGTTCGTGCGGGGCGGATTAATTTATAGAAAGGGTCGTGGCCATGTGGTGAAGCGGGGAATCGATGCGTCGCGTCTGCAGGTCGGCACCTGTCTCTTGTGGAATAGGATGGGATGAACAACGGGATGGGCGCCTGTTTGGCGGGCGTCAAACTTCTAAAGGGACGGGTCCGCCGGCTCGGTAGACAGGGATCTGGAGATTAGTTGCAGGCGCGTCATTGCGCATGTGTTTAGCTCCAATTGATCTTGCACGTGAAGATCACGCATGTCTTACCCCGTACAAATCTAATCTGATGAGACCGCCCACCCCAAGTGCAAAGGGACTAGGCGTTGACTGACATGTAATAATGGGTTTATCATTACTCGCGACTACCAATGAACAAGCTGCCGTGCGA